AGGGTTTTATTATACCACAGTACTGAATTTGTTATCTCATCTGAGCTTAGATTCTCTCTTTCAGGCCTTAATGCAGTGTTACTAAAATGACAATAAAGCCAGAGGATGGCCTTACATTACAGGCAGGGCTGTGGGATCTGCAAACAGAATCTTCTCATAAGAAAAGTTATTAAATGTGATCAAGATTCTGTCTGTCACAATAAATATATTCAGTGGTGTCTGAAAGGGCAGGGTGAGTGTAATGTGGGTGTCTGACTGGAATATGAAAGGCTCTACGGACGACAAGCTGAATGGGAAAAACTAATGGATATGGATGGTACAATATGTTGTGGTTCAGAGCCCAGACCTACTGGGAAAATATTGGATGGATGGAGAAGAGCCCTTTTTGGGCAGGCACTTCTTCCCTGCTGGAGATCCCGCTGAGCAACTTTGCTAGGTGGGCACCTGACTAGGAAGCCTGAATGAAATTTATTCAGTTGGGGGACTGAAAATGGGTATTCATCCACAAGAAAATGTTCTGGAGTCACTGTCCACATAAGGGGTGAAATGAAATGGCATGTGGTATAAGATCTCTGTGTTTTACTTAAGTTTTAATGAAAAGTTTTCCTTCAAGATAGTTCAGTACTTCTCTGGGACAGGAAACTTATACGAAAAAAGGTGATATGTTGATACAGGTCTTTCCAAGAGCTACTATTTCTGCTATGTTTTCAAGAGATGATTGAGAGAGTATATAATCTGATAGTGAGAAAAGCGAGAGAGATGCTATTTCTGTTGCCTGAAAGACTGATTTTGAGAAAACAGACTACTGGCTTGCAACCTTTCCCTCTGTAATATTTCCATAATTGGTTGGCATCTGAATCAGTAAAAAGCTGAACAGCCCTCAGCTGCTGTGTGTTTTAGGATTAATATAACAAACTCTGAAGCTTGCAGTGGGCAGAATCACATGAGGTCAGTATGCTGCTTTGGTAGATATGTAATTCTGCTTACAGTTACCAACATGGGCTGATCCTGGTGAAAGGTGATCATCTGAAGACTCATGTCAGAGTGACATGGGTTAGTGGACATGGTGGTGATGGTTTGACAGTTGGACTACATGATCTTAGTAGTCATTTCTAACCTTCATGATTTTATGATCCTTTGTCTGGGAGATGATCTTGAGCTCAACATAGCATAAAGAACACTTTCTATTAAAACTTGTGCTCACATAACTCCACTAGCTATCTCCAGCATAAACATTTTATGTAAACCTCTGAGCTGCCCCATTTTCTATTCGTTCTCCAGACTGGTGGGCCCAACACTGTGAGAGCAAATGTTTAGGAAATCTAAATAATTTACCTTCATCTGTCTTTTTGAAGTCTGAATCACTAAGATACCAGTGTCCTGAAAAGGCTGGCCTTTGCTTCAGTAGCATAGAACAGCCTTAGGGAACCAGAGGGATGGACAGGTTTCTTTGATACCCATCTTAATTAACAATTAGAACAGCTCATGGAGAGTATTATTATGATTAAATAGATGAATTTAGAGACTGAACTTTGTGAACTCATCTGAAGCACAATCTGTGCTTGATGAAATGAAGCTGTGAAGCTGTTTACAATGATACTGTATTTTTTTCCAAAACACATAGGTGTTAACTTCTCTGTCTGTCTGGATATCTTCAAAAGTGTTAAGAAGATCGGGGATTCTGATGATTTTTTATTTTGTCATTAGCTGTGCAAATATCTCCTTTGCAGCTTAATTTATAAATTACATCTCTGAAATGGAACAAATAAGCTTTTTTTGCTCAAGGTGAAGGGACTAGAAAATAAAAATTATGAAGACCAGCTGAGGGATTTTTTTCTTTGCCTGCAGGAGGCTGAGGGGAGACCCCATTGCTCTCGACAACTAACTGAAAGGAAGCTGCAGTGAAGTGTCAGACTCTTTTCTCAGGTGATAAATGATAGGATACAAGGAGATGGTTGGAAGTGGCACTTAAGGAGGTTTAGATTGCACACCTGGAAGAATTTCTTCATAGAGGGTGAGGTCAGGCATTGTGATGGGCTGCCCAGGCCAGTGATGGAGGCCCTATCCCTGGAGATATTTAAGAGATGAGTGGACATGGAACTAAGGAAGATGTTTTAGTGACTTGGTAGGTCTTAGACTTAGGGACTTGGTAGGTCAGGTTGATGGTTGGAGTTGGTGATCCTGAAGATCTTTTCCAACCTCTATGAAAAGTAGACCTATTGGGTTAAGCCAGAGATCTAGTTAGCTCAGCAAATTTTTCTGAATTTGTCCAGTAACATATGCTTTAAACTAAAAGAAATATTATATTTACCTTCTTATAACCTCTCTGCTTGTGGAAATCAACTGTTATGCCCTTAGCTACATGACCAGAGAGTTAAAAGTTGTCACTAGATCCACTGTTTGAAAATCAAATTCCTCTTTAGCTCATTTATATTTTATATAATGCCCTATTATGATGAAGATCAGAATAGAATTATGCATTCTATAGAAAGATAGTATCCATTCCCTGATTTAGACTCAAGACCACAAGATTTCACTAGTGCTCCGTAGCAGTGTTTCTCATTCCTGTCTTTATTTTTTCTTTATTTATTTTTTCTGATTTTGTATATATTTGATTCACATGCCAGGGATTGAAAGAGTAGAAGGAAATAAATGCACTCTAAATATTCTAAATAATATTTTTTAAAATGCCAGTCATTTTAGCTAAGGTAGCACACCCAGGTTTGATTTGAAGAAGAGATTTTGGGCCTTTGTAAAATTACCCTGTAGCTATCCATACTATGAGGTTTGTTAACTGTGTTGCTGAGTGTTCTTAAGCACTTTTTCAATGAGACACAAGAACCTGGCTAACTACAAATGTCATGCCATCTATAACACTGACTTTGCATTAAGATAGCATCAAACCTCTCTCACTCGGCCACATGGCCATGCACACATGAGCTCAAAGGTGCAACAGACAAACCCATAAGCCTATTCCTATCTAAATTTTAGTTTGATTTCCAAACAGAAGACTTCTGCTGGGATTATTGCAACCCTGTTTACCTGGGCTGAACTTCTTCCAGATAAAAAAAAGTAAAAATGTACTGTTAGGCAGCTTTCTCCACTTCTTCTTGAACACTAAAAGAAGGGAAGACTAAACGGAATTGCTCATCACTAAAATATGCATACATGTAAATGTACTCAAATGCCACATTTTACATCATGAAGTTTAATCTAAGTGCAAACAGTCTTTCCTTTTATGCTCTTTCAAATACACCTTTACATTATCTCTTTCCAAAAAGGTCCTCAATTTTCTTCTTTTTTTTTTTTTATAATTGACAAAAGCAGATTTTTAGCAAACACTAACAATAGAAAATTTGTTCCCAAATGGATACAACATCTCAGTCTGTAATTATGCTATTTCCTCCATACTGAAACAAACATTGACATGAGTAGCTGGAAGATTAATGTTATGCTGATGACAAAAATGGAAAAACAATTTGGGGAATCAGGAGGTAATTAAATTCTTGACAGACTCACTTGAATAAGGACCATTAGTTATATGAATGAATTATTCCCCTGAGGCTTTGATTATATACAGGAAATAGGCATTTAACAAGTGATTTCACTGGCGATATAAAGCATATTATCTCCCCAAATAAATGGCAAAGTTAATTTACAGGCTTGCAGAGAGTGGACATTTCAAATGTAAAAATGTAGAACTGACTCCTTAACAAACACAGGGAGATTAAGATTTCACAATGCTGTTTATTGCATATTTTATACCAAGCTGAACTCTGATTCCACATAATAAATAAATAAGGAAAACTTGTTTCAACCAGTGCAATTATTCTCCTTTTGCAGTGAACTCAAGAATTGTTTGGTATGGCAGTAAGGGAAGTGTTTGCAACTCTGAATTATTATTTTGCTGGAATGCAGAAGCTTTGGACCCTCTCCATTAGAAACCGTATTGCAACAAGAGAAACTTCTCACTCTGGTAATCTGCTATAGGCTGAAGTAAAAGAACATGATTATCTAGGACAAAGGAAGTATTTCCATTCCCATTACAAAGGAAAAATAAAGTAAGAAAATGTTAAGAATGAGGATTTTAAATGGGCAGGGGACCTCAAGAACTGCAGGTCTGAAAGGGATATGCTGAATCACTTTTTGCCCCTTTGCTAGTCCCCACCTATGACTTTGTCATCTCATCATGCAGATTTGGTGCTTCCCTGTGTTTTATAAACACAAATGGGACTTTCTTTGCTGGTGGCTTCAGCCAAATTCTTGCTTTGCTCTGAAAACCTCACTTGTAAATCCATGCACATCAACTCGACTGTTTTCAAAAGCAAATCCCTGCAGTGCTGATGTCAAGTATTTACTACTGCTGCAAATGTAAGCTACACTTCTGCAGAGAAACGTACCTTCACAGTCAGGACTGTAGGTATTTTTCACATTCAGACTTGCCAGCCAGAACAGCAGTGTGTAAGGTGTTGGGCATCAGAGCCGTGAGCTGGTTGTTGGGCACAGTAACGACAGCAGAACGGCGGCAGCAGAAATGCTGCTCTGGCTGCATAGCACTGGTGGAAGGGAACTTGCAGATTTGGTGCTGGCTGGCCCCATTGTGAAACACACCCGTGTTAAATGTCTGTCACAACTGTCAAAGCTGTGAGTCCCCAGACCTAAAATCTGCATCCAGAACTCTAATATTCAACCTTTTTTTTGAGATGTAACAGTTTTCCAAGTCAGGGAGTTTACATTTCTTTTTCTGTTCCATTAAACATATACCAATGCACACTGTTTTTTGAAGTCTTTTCTTCTCTAACCTTCTTTAACTAAAATTGCATCTTCCAATTAGGAGGCATTGTCAGTCAGTATTATTCTGAAAAGAATAACTATTTAGAAGATCACTGTATTATACCCTTGTATACTCAAGATTCCTTAAGCTGATGAAATTTTATCTACTGGTAAACATACAAAATGATTAAAAAGTGTAACTTCAAAAGGTTTCATTATTTACATACCCCTTTTGCATCAATGACACCAGGCTTTGCGTTGAACTTCACAGTCTTCAGACGGGCACGCTCCTTCCTTTCCACTCTGTGGGAAACAAAAATAAAGAACCACATGTTGGTTGGAGCAGTGTTTTCTATGATGTGTTTGATACACAATCTGCTAAGACCACATGGTACATGAAGTGAACACCGAAAGCAAATTTTTACAGATAGTATGAGATGTGAGGTCACTTCCTCAGCCAATCACAGAATCATAGAATCATTAAGGTTGGTAAAGACCACGAAGATCATCTAGTCCAACCATCACCTCATCACCACCATGCCTCCTAGGCAGCCCATGAGCAGCATTCTGCTGGCAAACACAGATCTGGCTCCAAAGGTCCTTGTTTTTCTTACATTAACTGAACAGCGCTTCCTCTCAACAAGCATGCAAACTAAGAAGACAAAGTTTCACCTGATGAGTTAAAATGTAAGACACTTCATTTGATAGAGGAATATTAGCACTTCTCTCTCTGTCTTTACCCCATTTTCCAACTGTTTCCAGCAATGCCCCTTATTACTGTCTTCACTGCAGCTAAAAAGCAATCCAGTAATAAAAGAGAATAGGTTTCAATGGTATCAGTGAATTGATTAGCCAAGTGAGATGGTCAGATAAACACTGCAGCTGGTCTGACTAGAGCAGACTGGAATAGGATGCTCCCTTCTTTATGTTTCAGAGCAAACTTTGCATTGATTCTCAAAAAAAAAACCAACAAAAAAACCTGAAAAATCCAGCAGAAAACAGCTTCCACCACACACAGGCAGATGGTTTGACCACAGCTTTGTAAAGCCCTTTTTATGTATTTAAATCTTTTCACTGTTTAAACACAAAGTTCTTCAAACTTGTCTTTACCAATATCAGAGGTTTTTTAAAGGTCTTGCCCTCAGCTTGCTCTGCAGAGTGCATGCTGGTTCACTGAATTTTTTGACTTCTGGTTCACTGAGTTTTCAACATGCTGTCCTTGGAACCTTTCTGTTGCTGATTTTTGAAATGAATTCTAAATTTGTCTTCTGAAAGATGCAGGTATGCTATTTCTTACAATATTCAAGTGCATAGAAGCTTGCTTCAGGTTTTGCTTATTTAAAACTACAGTTTTTCCCAAATGAGCTTATCTGAGGAGAGACACAAATGCTCCAGGACAGAATAACTATTTTCAGCCACCCTAAAATGCTACGAAATAGGTGGGTGGTCTTTTTTTAAAATTATTATCTCCATGGTAGCAGAATGGAAACAATTTTTTTTTTTCTTATTTATTTCAGTGAAGTGGGTGGATTCTGAAGATGAATATGTGGTTGGACTCGACGATCCTTAAGGTCTTTTCCAACCTGAGCGACTCTATGATTCTATGTACAGCTACCAAATAATCAAATAGTGTAGCCATGTAAGAAAAAATATAAATGATGTATTTCAGTTTCTTTGGTCTATTTCCAGTTTGGTACCAGGAACTGACCACTCATTAACAGATGGATGCATTGGGTGAGCGTATCTTCAAGATCAGTTCAATGCAAGTGAATCTAGTGTCAAGGGAGCTGCAGAAGATGAACCAAAGTGCAGAAGCAGAAGGCAAGAAGGACATCTGTGTTGACAGCTCTCTCATGGGCTGAGCTGGGAAAACAGAGCAGACAGCCCATGTGTGCCCACCTCATGGGACCGAAGAGCCCAAACTGCAGTGTGATGTAACACACAACTTGCCTCAGTCTGCACCATTCTGGTAATTCTGTTTTTAAAGGAAGTCGAAATGTTCCAATGAAAAGCCTCAGTGATTATTTGATCCTAACATTGCCTCAATAAATACGCTTTTGGAAAGGAGTTGCTACCTTGTACATGCAACACCTTCACAGTGAGAAAATACCAAGTTCTCTTCAGGAGAGAATTATTTTTAACAGAGAAAAAAAATCATTGACAATAAGCTAAAGCCTGGCAAATTAAGATTAAGCAAAGCACAAAATTTACTTTTTAATGGTTAAGAAATTTAGCCATTAAAATAGCACAGAAGAGGTGTATCTGGCACCCATATCTTAGAATCTTGACTGGAAAAACGCAATTTCCAGTCACCAATGTCAAGGAAAAAAAGACACACAAGATAGGCTTACAAAGGAGATGAGACAGTGTTCCTTTTCCGTCTTTAAATAACATGGATCGGTATTAAAGGTTTCCATTATTTGGTGAATGGGCATAATTTTAAAAATGTCTGTAAACATTAAAATCTATCAGCACAGAGAGACATGTGCAGCTAAAGTTTTACCTGTCGGTGAATGATACAGTAGATTTTGAAAGTTCATCTCATCTACAAGATTTACTCATGGTGAATATTTGACTTTTTAATGCAATATGCTTGAATAATAACACCACTAACTCTAAAATGATCTGAGAAAGGGTGAGCTCTCTCCTAAATGCAATCAAACTCCATGAAAGGCACAAGCAGAGAGAAAAATCTACTGCAAAGGAAATCTACTGAAAGGAAAAGCTACTATTGCCCTTACCTTGACTAACACAGTCATAACTATAAAGATAATACTTACTACCTTTGCAAAATCATTTACAGGATCTACTGGCCGGATCACCTATAATTGAAACAGTAACACTGTTCGTCTAGGATTATGAATTTCTCTAGGAAATTTAAGATCAGTCCTGCAAAGCTAGCTTGTAACCTCTCAATGTAATATTTTTATTGGACAATAAATTATCTGGAGAGAAAAATGAGGTTTATCATATCCTCTAAATTGGTCCAAATATATGTCTTTTTGTAACTTGCAGAGTTTTGCACAAATGGTATACAAATATATTCTCTTAAACCTCCTGGTTTCTAAGTCTGTATAGTAAGACTGCTTAGTTTTTGGTAATTTTTTTTTAAATACAAACTCTATTCTTTTGATAGAATGATAATTAGTACAACATGTTTCCTTCTGTCTGAGTGGGATTATATATTTCCTACTGAAACACAGTGAATGCTGGTTACTATGGCTACAGTTTAAATTTAGAATAAATGCATTTCTCTGTATGTGTGGAATATTCACATGGAAACAGATCAAATGCAGCTTTTAAATTAAATCTGTGTTATTAAAACCACATGAACAGTTTTAAACTCAAACTAGCAGATGAAGTCCCCTGATAATATCAGTAAGAAATGAAGACTTGAGGCTGTATAATTGCCTAAATAGGATGGATGCCTTCTGAGAAAATAACTACCTCAAAAGAACACAGCATTCAACTTATTAATCTGTGTTAACATTTAAACTCATGCCAATTCTTTCTAACTTCCTAAAACATCTGCTTTTAACTTCATTTCTTTTTCACTGCATAAAGAAAGTTGAAAAGTAGCGTTGAAGAGTGGACCTTATTTATGAAATGCTTTGTAATTGAATTAGCAGCAATGGTGGGAATGGCTGCACTCTACAGGCAGAGAAGACAAGATGAGGAATGACAGAAACATCCTACATTGCTTTGAGTAGTCCATAAATAACATCACTGAGTGCCATTAATCCTCCAGGCAAATGTATCAACAGTGTTCATACATGCTTATAATACCTACTGAATATTACAAGTATCTCATAATTTACACCTCTGTTGAAGAAAGCACACAGTTTTGTTCTTCATTACAATTTTTCTGACACTTTCTACAATACTGGTCTTTTCAGTTATTATTTAGCTGAACCAAAAACTTCCAAGTTGAAATTTTATGTGTCTCAGGACAAATACAATACTGCTGCTGCCTGAAGTGTCATTGAAATGGGTTAACTCTCGGAGAAAGGCTCAGATAAAACAGATGGCTGTGCCCAGGATATAAAATTCTTTTAAAGCACTTCTGCTCAGGTGCTTTACTGCCTTCACAGAATCATAGAGTCATAAAATGACTTGTTGGGTTGGAAGGGACCTTAAAGCCCATCCCGTTGCAACCACCTTCCATGAGCAGGGTTGGCCTCCATCAGCTAAGGCTGCCCAGGACCTCATCCAACCTGGCCAACACCTCCAGAGATGGAGCACCACAGCTTCTCTGGGCAGCTGTTCCAGGGCCTCACTACAGGAATAGGTTCATTTATTGGGTGAGGGACTTGAGGTATGAGAGGGGGTTGCTCTGGTATCAGGAGTACACTTCTATTTTCTGAAGAAATCATCTCACTTTCCAAATGTTTGAAATGCCTTGTTTCATTGTGTGCTCTGGAGAAATCTGATAAAATTTTGTTATCTAAAGATTTTGTCTTGAGTGACCACAGTGTAGATTGCAGTGAACTGAAGTTGTTTAATTTCTCCTTATAGCTACTGTGTCTTTTTTTTTTTTTTTTTGCCAGAGAGTCAAAAAGTGAGTGAAAAATGTTTGGAATCATGAAAATAAAAAATATTGAATATCAGTTTTTTAATGTATCTTTTTGTATTTACATTTATTTGATATAGCTCTCAGAAATATATCTTAGTAAATATTTAAAAGGAACACTACTTTGAGTGCTTTTAGTATGTATCTTCAGTTTTGCAATTGCTACATTTTGACAAAAAATAATCATGATTCCTGTTATCACCAGGACAAAGTGGGGTTAGGCACAAAGAGTTTTTCACAGCAGCTAACATTGTGAATGCCTAAATAACAAAGGAGTGTAAATTCTTCACACTCCTCCATTCCTTTGGCTGCTAGAAAAATCACTATCCCTTAGGCAACACTTTGAACGATCATCAGAGGAAACCACTTTTAAAGGAAGAAATGTTTCATTTAGAATGGTATCCATTTTTTATTTACCATTGCTGCACAAAGTAGGATTATAAACTGGTTGTGAGAAAGATTAAATGAAGGGGAACAGTTTCCATCTGCCAAGTTATGCAAAGACTCAAATTTGCAACCAAGGATTGGCTAATATACACATTAATCTCACGCCCCTTTCTAATTATAAATCTACTCAGTAGAGTTATGCCTAAGAGTTAAACACAGGTACAATTTCTGAAACTACTTCATGGCTCAAGTCTTATTTGCACAAGTTCTAAGGTCCCTGAGGCTAAATGAGCTTTCAAGAGGTGTTCAAAGACATCCAGCATTCAAATAATAGAATCATAGCATC